CCTCTAAACGTAGTAAATCTGGTACATCTAGGAAGAGCTGGTCTTAGGTAAAGAGTAGCCTCACTGAGGGATGCCTCTCAGGCTTCCCTGCTCCCAACTGCCTGCCCGCCACCCCCAGAGGCTAGGCCAGGCCTCTACTTTGAGCACATTACAAATACTTCCACTAGGCTCACACAGCAGAATTATCTAATTTTAACTACATCCTTAAAGATAGTAAGAAACAGTATTCAAATATGTGTTGTTAGATCTCATCTTACTGGTGAATTAACACACTGCCATTGGTAAAACCAAGAGTTTGGACCAAATAAATTCCCAACGCTTACTCAGATGATGGCAAACCCAGGTCCTAATGTCGCACTCATTGAAAATTTCAGTATAGGTCACTTTTTGGAAATATTCTTTGGCACAAATGTTTAATTATTCTCACTATTCTTACTTATTGCTACAGAGAAGAACCACAAAAGGGACTCAGTAAATGTTTGTTGAGTAAAAAATGTGTGATTTTACTGGACATCTAAATTCCTACTAGGTCAGTGTGAGACCTAACAGGAAAGACATCTTTCAGATGCTTGATGTTTCTGCAGGAATAGAAAGCTTAAATCTTAGAGAAGGAAGGCTGTCTGCCTTTCTAAAACACCAAAGAGATAGGCAGAAATGAAAATGGGTTCAGCAAGGATCAATGCTAAGAAGGACCAAGTGTCAGAAAATTAGAAATAAACTTCTAGGCTGAAGATTCAGAAGAAGGAATTTAGATTTTTCTGAGTGAATTTAGCAGAAAAGATAACAAACACACAGACCCTAGGAAATGAATAAGCACCAATGAAGTTCAGTCAATCTAATTAGATTCTGGCAGTCAGGTGACTTTATCAAAGTAATCCCATGGAGGCCACTTTGCTGGTCATTTGATGATGCTCCTTCCCACGCGGTCTTTGTCTCCATCTGTCTTCCAACTCACTCAGACACTGTTTATTCACATTTAATTCTTCACTCTTTTTCCTAGTCGGTGTCATACCTCATCTACTGGGACTATCTTTATACAAATAAAGTATTCTACATTTGTAAAGCTCTGAGAAGTATGTAATACTAGTGTTTTTTTTAAAAAGATAGGTGTAGTACATGTAACATAAGAGAACAATCATTAGTGAACTGGCACTGAATCTTGTAGAGGAAAACAGAAACCACAGGTGTGACCCATGCCATAGATAGAGACTGGGCTCAGCAATGCACAGCACGGCACATGCATGCTGTTTCCCAAGGGCTCATACGGAGCTCATTAGCACATACAAAATGATGTTCTGCTCCTCTGGGCTTACAGGTAGACTTAAAGTCAATAACCACAAAGGGAAACCCAATATGTGGAACAGAAGCTAGCTTTTCTAAAAGTTATAAATGTGACCAAATAGCTCTGTTAAAAACTTATTAGTAGGCATTAAACTTCCTCCAGGATTCATAAATCTAGTAGCTAATCAGGAATAATGATGTGCCAAGGAAAAAATGGGAAAAGTCATTCTTCTAACTAAAGCAACTGCTATCTTCCTCTGGGGCCGGGAGAATTCATGGAACACATCATAAGCTATTGCTCTTCTTAAGTCTGCCTTTGGAAAGATGTTCTAATGTTTGCTTTTATTCTTCAGATAGATAGATATATCAATACCATGATTTAATGCACAATTTCTTAGTGATAAAGTTAGCTTATGCAAAAAGTCCCACATTTACAGTTTTTAACCACATCTAGACACTCAGTCTCCGCAACTGTTGTGAAAATGAGGTAAGGGAATGGTTTATCAGGTGGGTAGTAGATATAGGGTAAAGTGGGGAGAAAGACCCGGAGAGTTCTCTACAGACACAGAAATCAAAATACAGTTTACTCTGTTTTCTATAAAAGTGGGGCTGATTTTATTCTATGCCTTCAAGAGGCATCACTACCTTGCGTGCTGCTTCCTTGAACCCTAAGGTTGCATGTCAGAGGGAGCCAGAGGTGGGGGGACCCAGGGCATGGCTAACTCTACATCAATGCTAACTCCCTCTCCTTTTCTCTAGGGCTTAAACCACATCAGGCCTGCGGAGTGCAATGATTTTTCTCCATTTGCATGTCGTTCTTCTTTAAAAAGTGGTAACACAGATGGGCTAGGGATATAGCTCAATGCTTGACCAGCATGTGTGAGACTGAGTATGATTCTTGGCACCACAAAAGAAAAAAGTTCCAAAAAAGTACTAACAGAAAATATTCTAGTTTTTAAAAACTAGAGGAATGCATGCGGGACCATTTCCCAACACGCCATCCCCCAGTTATGCCATCTTCATACGCAGCTTTCCTTTGCAGCAAAGTAGAGCATGCATACAGAACAGATGACGTAATCAGGCAAAAGATACTGGCCTTGTCGCCAATTTCCAGCTCTGCGAATGGAACCTAGTCCTCAGGATCCAGGACAGCTTGTCCAGGTTTATTATTCTATTTCTAAGTAGACAAAAGTATTCTTAAGTGGTTACCTCCTTGTTCAGGACAAAGGTCCAGTGTGTAATTGCTGGAGCCATCAAAACAGATGGCTGTGTGCCCCACCCCCAAGGTAAGATGAGAGAGTAGAGAGATAACAGGATTATTAGAACAGAATAAGAAAGAGGAGCAACAAATAAAAATGTCTGTATAACAGAGCAAGATGCTGAGGTTAGATGATTCACGCTGGCTAGGTATTCTTTCTTTGCAATCAGATGGTAGAATGAAAAAAGTAGGATTCTCTTTTGTTTCCCGTTCTGTTAGGCCAGATAATCCAGAGAGGTTTGCCCTTTGTATAACAGGGATAATGATACCTACACCTGCCAGGTACCAAGTAGACAAAAAAGTCAGCTTGTATAACTGATGTCTCATCTAATACCTAACACGGGGGCATTCTCCAAATAGTAGCCTCCTGCGCCACACCCTTTCCTTTTCCCACTTTCTTCCATTTGCTGAAACTAACATTTCCTCTTCATCCATCTGGTCAAAATAACTTGTAAAACTTGACCTTGATATATCTGAACACCACTGACCTCCACTGAGCCCTCCACAGCGCCGCCCACGTAAGTTCTCGCGGTAACAGACCCAGAGGCTGAGTCAGCCTCTACAGCTTTCCTTCTCTCCCCATCTAAAGGACAAGCTTCCTCTGGGGGTTGAACAGCTTTGATGAAAAATCCATCATGGGAACAAGCAGGAGGGAGAGAACATTTCACATGCTGTCCCAGGCATCAGAAAGTTGCTGTATCATAGTCTGCAATTGCGCAGTCGATTCTGCAGGTATTTCAAAAAGGCTTTTGAACCAAATGTGGCCAAAAGAAGAAAAAGGCTGAATTGGACACAAGCCTTCCTCTAAGAAAACCGAATGCCACTGTTAATCAGAAACCTTGGCTAGGTGTGAGGCCACCCGCTAAAGGTCCAGTGAGGCTCCCTGGGGAGAAGGAAAGCAAAAGAACACCATGCTCTGGTCACTTGGGGAGCTGGGGGCGGGGACCAGAGAAGGGCAGAGCCAGGCAACAAAATGCCTCTTCCTTCCTTCCAGTTCAGCTGGAATTTTATAAAATTTTGTGGTGTTGGAGAGTATGTCACAGGTATGTTCCTGTTTTTCCTTTTCTTATTTCAATGAAAACACCTGGCAGAAATGGGTATAGTTGGAACATGAAGAACAAATATTGGAAATGGGTTTAAAAAAAAGAAAAGAATTCTAGCTTCATGGACTGCAGAGGCCCAGAACCAGGTCTCACAAGGTGATCCCCACCTGGGAACCAGCCCCACGAGCGGGCTTCTGCCAGGGTGGGGACAGCCAGACCAAGCCTCTCTCTGTGAGTCAGTGCCATTTGTGGAACATGGAGGGAGAGAACAAGGCCTCACCAAGAAGCCATCCCCACCTGGAAACCATATTATTTTCATTGTTTTGTTGGATTGGATTTTACTCTTTTGTTTTGTTTGATTATGTTAAATCCGACAGCATAAGCAGCTATTTAAAAAGACAGCATGACATATTATGGTAGCCATTTTGGATTTACTATTGGCTTGTTTTGAAGTCTCTTATGCATTCATTGTTTTATTTTTATTGTTTCTATTCTATTCTGTTTTGTTCAATTTTTACTGTGTCTGAAAGTACCTACAACTATTTTGATGACAACAAAAGGCATTATGGTAACTGTTGTTGATTTTGTAAGGTTTTAAAGTTCTGTATCACTGACAATGGTTTGATTGGTCTTATTCTGTTTTACTTTCCTTGTTTTATCCTTTTTAAAATAAATAAATAAATAAATAAGAGGTCTATCACCAGAGTTTTAAAAAATATTTGTTTATTATTTTTAAAATTTTTTTCAAGCTGGTGATTTAGCTCAGTGGTGTAAGTTCCTGCCTGGCAAACGCAAGGTAAGGAGTTTGATCCCTGGTATCAAAAAACAAAACAAACAAAAAAACCCAGAAACAAAAAGTAGCTGAGCATGGTAGTGCACACCTGTAATCCCAGCACTTGGGAGGCTGAGGCAGGAGGATCGTTGCAAGTTGGAGACCAGCCTGGGCTACAAAGTGAGCTCAAGGCCAGCCTGAACTGCAGAGTGAGATCCTGTCTCAAAAAGACAAAAAAAAAATTTCTTTTTCATATCCTTATATTTCCAGGTAGTGTCAAGAATCGATGAGCTGAACTGTGTGTTTAACATCCTCAAGGAATAGGTTATTCATTAATACTTACATTGAACTATACAGTTACTTAAAGCAGTGTATCATAGGTTCCTGACTAGGTCCTAATGATACCCATGTCAGGTGGATTGCTGTCTCTGCTTTTATTTAATAGACAAGGAAATTGATAAAACAAATTATGTAATTTTTTTCCCCTAAAGTCTTACATCTAGTAAGAAAGAGTTAGGATCCAAACCCAGGTGTCCTGCTAGTAAAGCCAGATCTAACCTTCTCATACTAGGCTGCATCCTGGCAACCTCCTCAATTGCACGCACAGATGCACACACACATAGACATACACACACAGAGTTCTTACCTTCCAACTCTTCTTTCTCATAGTGAATGTTGAGAATTGTGCTGGTCCCACCCTGATCCACCACAGCTTCTTCATCTGGTCTCTGTTTAAACACAAGTTAAGTAAGTCGGCATGGCAGTACACACATTTCACTCAAATACCTGAGTACCTTGCCTATGCCAGACCCTTTTGAGATTCCAGGAGGGAAAGGAAGGGGATACAATGATGTACATATATTTTAAAATTTGAACTTCACAATAACTTTTAGAGGTAAACATAGCCACTTTCTTTCTCATTTTATAAGTGAGCTGTCTGAGATGCAGACTATTAAGTTACCACAGCGCAAGGTCACCAATGCATTAAATGATAAAGCTAAGACTGAGCCCAGGTCTCATGATGACAGATCTCATGTCTTTTTCCACCTCTTCACTCCACCCATGCATCTTTATAATTATTTGGCACTTTACAAATGCTGTCTCATTTAATGTAAACTTCTCAATCTCTGTCCAGCATTCAGGAGTTTACTATATTGTCCTTGAAATTCTCCATCATGTTCCTCTGATCAGTTCTCCTCTGTCTCATCCTAACACTCATCTTCCTCTACGTTTAATTCCCAAGGAAGAGCTTTTGACTTTTCCTTTCCTTCTCTTGGATCTTACGAATTTCAGGTGCAGCCTGCAACTGTGTAGCTCAGCACTTGATAAGCCACTGGGATCCTGCACCTCAGCATCCATGTGTCTAAAATCCAACTAACCTTCCTTCCCGAAGTACCACTCAATCCTCATTTATTTATTCCTCTGCATTGCACCACCATTTGTTAGCTCACATTTCAAATTTACTTATTTATTTACTCATTCAATAATATTAATACTCACCATATACTCTCAGGGAATTAATTCCCTTTCATTATGAAGTGTGCCTTTGCAACTGATTTCAGATTCACTCCTCTCTCTCATTCACTCTACCTCACACTCTTTTAGTCTTTTAAATTATACAGGCATTTTTTAGCACTGCAACAGCTTTCTTCACTGAGTACAGCTTTCTCCATCTGGATTCCGTTTTTGGGGGGTTTTTGTTTTGTTTTGTTTTGTTTGTTTTTTTGATACCAGGAATTGAACTCAGGACCTTGCACTTGCCAGACAGGCGCTTGTGCCACTGAGCTGTATCCCCAGCTCCTGGACTCTCATTCTCTCTCTGCAGCTCCCACGCCACTACTGGCAGCTAATAAAATATTATTCAACATCTCTTAGATCTCAACCTGAATACATTTCCCTGGATGACTTTCCTGACTGACCCCCACTTCTAAACTAAGCTAGGTCTTGGCATTTATATTCCTCATAGCACACCCAATTTTCCTTAACAATAAAATGTCTCTTTCTGTTCCTTGAAGGAAAGACTATATCTGTCTTCCCCTACACTATATCCCAGGACTCAGCCTAGATTTTTCACATAATAGATACTCAGTAAATCTTTATTAAAAGAATTAATACATTCAGGTACGTTGGCACATGCCTGTAATTTCAGCAACTGGGAGGCTGAGGGAAGAGGATTGCCAGGGGTTTGAGGCCAGCTTGGGCAACACAGTGAGTTCAAGGTCAGCCTGAACTATACAGTGAGACTCCCCACCCCCCTCAAATAAAAAGGTCTATAGATATATGATCTATCTAGCAACAGACTCACAAAACACTTGGGAATATTATTTAATATACATTATAATATTCAAAATCTTCAAATGCACTTTAACATCAGTGTCTTCCTCAGTACCATAAGTACTTTAATTTAATGACACAAATTTCCAGAACATATCAGTTTTATTTCTAGCTAAATTGCAAAGCTTCCTACAGTCTTCCCCTTCTGCCCCCAGGAATAATTTTACTTTGTTTCTTTTCCTTTTATTAATTTTTTTTGTTTTTGATAGGGTTTCCATAAGTAGTTCAGGCTGGCCTTGAACTCACTATATAGTCCAGGCTGGCCTCAAAGTCCCTACGACTCTGCTGCCTCACCCTCCTAAATCCTGGGATTACAGGCATGTGCTTCCATACCAGTCCCTGAGGAATTTTTTTTTTTTTTTTTTTTCCTTGAGACAGGGTCTCACTATGCAGTTCAAGCTGTCCTTGAGCTCACTTTGTAGCCCAGGCTGGTCTCGAACTCAAAATGATCCTCCTACCTCAACCTTCTGAGTACAGGGATTACAGGTGAATGCCACCACGCCAGCTCAGAGTATTTTTTAAGTGGAAAAAAACACTTAGCTTTGTTTTAGACTTATTATTTGCTTACCTAGCTTATCTTTAGATCATGAATTCCCTGACAGCAGGAACCACATATTTTTCATCCTTATGTTCTCTGAGAGCCCAACACAGTAGCTTACACTCCTTCAAGATCCAGCAGGTTGGGTGCTGTGTCTTATGTTCACCACTACGTATCTGGTACCCATTACAATGTCCAGCACATGTCAAATATCTAGTAAATTTCAACAAATATTTATTAGTTTTATGAATTCTTTGATATTTTACCTATATTTTCTCCTAAACCTACCTATATGAATTATTTTACCTATACAAATAATTATTCATGTTGGCTTCATTGGTTTTTAATTTCCAAGGACAGAGATTAATTAATTATAATTAATACTTCGTAGTGTCCACAGACAGCAGACACAGCATAGAACATGATGGCAATCTGGAGAGAGGAAGGAAGAGATCATTGATTTCTTGATTCTAAGATTATAAAGTCAAACTATGAAGAGCAAAGTCAATCATCTCAAAATATCTAGGTTGGAAAACTGACTTCTTGCTTGTGTCCTTAACTTAGATTGGCTAGTTACAGCCTAACTTCAGTGACTAACTGCCCGTCTACTTTTTTTGTCTCACCAAACAAATCAGGGCCACAGTCAGTAACTATTAGCCTAAGCATTTGAAAAGCTGAGCTTGAATGGGAATGAACATTTGGGTTTTTTTCAAATAAACCAAGTATGCAAAAAATATAGATAAAAATAATTATAAGACACTGAAAAACAAATTAATCAATTCACCGCATATTTCATTATACTAAGCAATTATTATTTTGTGTAATGATAATATCATTCTTAAAAGAGTCTTAATCTTTAGTGATACACAGTGAAGGTTTTACTGATGATATGAAGTCTGGTATTTGGAGAATGGATGAGGAATAGATGAAACAAGATGGTGTATTCATTATTGAAGCCAAATCATGGTGATTCATTATGCAAATCTCTTTAATTTATGCTTGAAGTTTTCCATAAATTTCAGGCATGTACAAAGTTTGTTTGAAATCATTAAAAATGAAAAGAAAGGCATATTGGATCTCTTTGGTCTGTGTTTGCATATGCCCCACCAGTTGGCTATTATTTCCTCTGGTATTTTCACTGTTTATGGCAAAGAAGATTTTTCAACCTATGGTCTGTGAATTTCTAGGGTATCTATGAATGGGCTTCAGAAAATCTGTGGTAATAGGTATGAATGTACATGGGGGGGGGGTTAGAAGGTCCATAACTTTCATAGTAGTCTTTGAAGGCCTTGTGACTCAGAAAAGATTAGAATCATGAGAATCACATACAAGCATAAGGGAAAAAAAAGGAAAGAGGGGAAGAAAGAAGTGTAAACTAGAGAAAAGTCCTATTTCTAAGCATCTTCTTTTTAGTTCTTCCTCCTAGCAGGCTAATAATAACCCCCTATATAAAACTGAATAGGAGTGCCTATCTCAAGGACTATATAAGATAAAAACAATTAACGGGTTATTTGTGCATTAAAATATTGAACTTGCAGGACAACTCCTGAGAGCAAGTCAAGCCCAAACCTTGTAACAGAGAGGAAATTATAAAGATTAGAGCAGAAATTAATGCAATTGAGTCTAAGAAAATAATACAAAGAATCAAATCAACTTGGTTATTTGAAAAATTAAATAAAATTGACAAACCCTTAGGCAACTCTATCAAAAAAAGAAAGAAAAGTCTCAAACTCATATAGTTAAGAATGAAAAAGGTAAAAACACAATGAAACCTGCAGAAATTCAGAGGATCATTAATAGCTACTTCAAGAACCTCTGTTTTATGGCCAGGGATTTAGCTCAGCAGCATAAGCACCTGCCTGGCAAACTGAAGTTGTGAGTTTGATTCCCTGTACCAAAAAAAAAAAAAAAAGAACCTCTGCTTTAAAATGATGGAAAACATAGAAGAAATGGAAAGTATTTAGATACATATGATTACCAGAGCTGAGTCAAGAAGATATAAAGATTCTAAAATAATCCAGTGTCAATAAAATTGATGATGTAATTTAAAACTTACCAATAAAGAAGATCACAAGTTTTGATGGATTCACAGCTGAATCTATAAGAGATTTAGAGACGATCTAATGCCACTAATTGAAAGGGAAGCAATACTCCCAAGCTCATTCTCAGAAGCAAACTTTACCCTGATACCAAAATCAGAGAAGGATTCACCCATAAAAGGGAGCTCTAGACCAATTCCCTAGTGTACAGAGATGCAAAAATCCTCAGTAAGATACTGGCAAACAGAATGCAGCAAATCATGAAGATTATACATTATGATCAAGTAGGATTCACCCCAGGTATATAGGAATGGTTCCACATACATAAATCCGTAAGTGTAACATCCCAGATTAACAGAGCCAAGGACAAAAACCACATGATCATCTCAATGAAAACAGAAAAATTCATTTGATAAAGTCTAACATCATTTTTAAAAAACTATATAGAAAACTGGAAAAAATGGTCTTTTTCTCAATCTGATAAAAGTTATCTATGACAAACCAACAGCCAACATCATACTAAATGATAAAAACATGAAAGCTTTCATTCTAAAATTAGGAACAAGTCAAGAATGTCACTGTTACCACTCTTATTCAGTATAGTTCTGGAAACTTTAGCCAGAGAAGCTAGCCAAGGATAGAAAAGCAAGAAGTTAAATTATCATTATTTGCAGATGACATGAATACACTACACAGAAGATACCAAAAATTTCACCAAAAGACTCCTAGATTCAGTAGCTAAATCATTAGCACAGTTGGATATAAAGTCAACACTCAAAAGTCAATAGCCTTCCTGTAAAGAAATAACAAACTTACTGAGAGAGAAATTAGGGAAACAACTTTCACAATAGCATCAAAACCATGAAATACCCAGGAATTACTCTAACAAAGAAATAAAAGACCTTTACATTGAAAACTATAGTATTCTGATACAGGAAACTGAAGAAGATAACAGAAAATGGAAAGATATCTCTTGTTCTTAGGTAGAAAGAACGAATATAGTGCAAATGGCTATACTTCCAAAGTTGTTATACAATTTTAATGCAATTCCAATCAACATTCCAACAGCATATCTCACAGAGTTAGAGGCAACAACCCTAAAATTTGTTTGGAACCAGACCAGACCTAGAATAGCAAAGGTAATTCTTCCGGGCAACAAAGGCAAGACAGGGAGCATCACAATCTCAGACTTGAAATTATACTACAAAGCTACTGTGACAAAAACAGTATGGTACGGGCCAAAAACAAACCTGAGGATCAAGGGAATAGATGAGAAGATGCAGAAACAACTCCAGACATACTAAGTCATGTTATCTATGATAAGGGGCCAAAGTCATTCACTGGAAGAAAGATAGCCTCTTTAATAAATGATACTGGCTCCCCACATGTCAAAGATTAGACTCATATCTTTCATCATGTACTAAACTAAAATCAAAATGGATCAAAGATCTAAAAATTAAAACAGGAACATAAAATGTCCAGGAAGATAAAATAGACCTCTTGAAGACACAAAGTCTACTAACAAAACCCCAATCACACATGAACTATCACAAAGAATCAACAAGCGGGATGTCATCTTACTAAAAAGTTTTTGCACAGCAAGAGAAATCACCAACAGAGTAAAGAGTCAGCCCACAGTGTGGGAAAAAATTTTTTCCAGCCGTTCCTCAAAGAATTACTATCTAGAATATATAAAGAACACAAAAAGTCAGATGCCACAAATTGGAAGACCCAATCAAAAAATGGACATCTAAAATAAATACAGAATTCTCAGATGAAGAAGTAGAAATGGCAAATATATATATATATATATATATGAAGAAATGTTCAATATCACTGTCTATTCGAGAGATGAAAATTAAAACAAGGCTGAGATTACATCTCTCCTCAGGAAAAAAATGGCTATTATCAAGAAATCAACCAATAATAAGAGTTGGAGGGGCTGTGAGGTTAAAAGGAACCCTTCTCCACTGTTGGTGAGTATAGACTGGGTGCAACCATTGTGGAAATTAGTGTGGAGATTCCTCAAAAAACTTGCAGTAGAGGATCCATTTGACCTAACTACCCCCTTTCTTGGCATCCTCCCAAAAGAATTAAAAGCATCATACCACAGTGATATACACACAACCATATTTACAGCAGCACAGTTTATAACAGCTAGATCTTAGAAACAGCCCAGATGCTCATCAACCAAAGAAGATGTGTTTTTTTAATATAATAGAGGGTTACTCACCATAAAGAAGGATAAACTTGAGACATTTCTAGGTAAATGAATGCACAGGGAGGCCAGAGTCTTAATTGAAATAAATCAGACACACATGTTCACATATGGCATGATTTCTCTGGTGTGAGAAACTGAAAGTATAAATAAGGACCAAAATGTATCACAGTTCTTGTGCAACAGGCAAACACTGTGCAGGTGGGGAGGGGAGCTAGGGAGACGGAAGGGGGACAGGAAAAAGAGAGAGAAGAAGGAAAAATGGAAACAAAGCTTTCATAAATGGGGAAAGGAAGAAGGAAAATGGAAGAAGGGAGTGGAGGGAAAGGGGAAAATTAAGAATCCAGATATACCACGTGCAGGGACAAATTTCATGTGATGAATTTATCATCATGTATACCTAAAACGTGCCAATGAGCTAAGACAATCATCTGCAGGTTTCGAAGGAAACACATTGCAGCCTGAATTGTCCCCCATTTTCTGGTCAAGTTTTTGCTTGGCAAGTCAGCCCACATCTTTGCTCCCAAAGGTCCCCAGCAGAGCTGGTAAAGCCAGGTAGACAATACATACCCCAGCTCCTCAGTTCTCACACGCCAGTTAGTGTGTACTGGACTACACTGTGTGTGCGTGGTCAGAAACTATTAGGGGTCAATGCTTTTGTTCAGTAACATTGAACATAAACTAACCATGACCCTCAGAAGAGTTGACCTGCTCTCTACAGTCATTCATTCACACACTCAACAAATATTTACTGAGCTACAACAACATCAGCAGAATCACCGGGCACCAAAGTTCAGGACTCCTTAAGGAACTTTTTTTGAAGTTTTAGGTGGTGTTATTGTTGTTATTTTCTGGTTCACTGTAAGGCTTACGGTGTGAATCCTTTCCACTGACCATGTTTCTCATTTACCAGGGTTGGTATTCTGAAGATTTCTGTAACATGTTCCACTTCGAGGGGGCCTGGTCCACACAGACAGCGTGGTAACTAACTGCCCAGGCTCACTGGCTTCCCCTCCCCCACTTCCCTTCTCACTTACCAGCACTACTTGGCAAACATGCGGAGGATGGCAACCTCTCCAGCCTTCTCTTCAAGCACTTCCTTCTGGTTGATTGTGAAAGTGCTGATCCAGAGAACTGGAAACTACATGATATTCTCAGTTCCAGCCCAAAATAGGGGCTTTCCCTAAAGCTGTCGCATCTTCTTCCTCTATTACTTTTAAGAGTTCACTAATCCTTAAAATTTCAACACCTCCTCCAGAAATCTCACCAAAATGAGATATTCATTAACTAGGTGTTCATGAACTCATCCTAAAGTACACCAACAAGCTCCCTTTCACAACAAGCTGTCTTCCGTCCTTTCAGTCTCTCCAGCTCTGATATATCCTTTGTACACCTTGCCACACATGTCTTCCCAAACATTTCAGAGGTGCTCACTCACAGCCAAGTATTAGCTAGATGCCAAAGACACAAGCTGCAGTGAGTAAAGGCACATTCTTTGAAGCGAGGTGGCCCTAGATTTGGCAGAACTATAGGCAATTTTGTCACTTATTAGAAGTTACCTGACCTATCAATACCTCAGTCTCCCCAGGTGGAAAATGGGATTAATAAAGGTCCATAATTCTCAGGATAATAGAGTTAAATGTGATCACAGGGCTGGGGTCATAGCTTAGTGGTAAAGCATATGCCTAGCATATGAAAAGTCCTGGGTTCAATTTCTAGCAACACAAAAGACAAGAAGAACACAAAGGAGGAAAGGAAGGGCAGTGGTGAAGAAGTTCATGCCATAGCACATGAAAAATACCTAGTCAGTACCTGGCACATGGCAAGCACTCAATACACGCTACTTAACAGTAACAAAAAGGGATCTGTTGGGCGGGCAGCAGAGATGCATGTATATTCCACAAGCAAATCATGGAAGAAATTATCGCACTTGCTATATGCTCTGAGTAGAAGAGACTGAGTGGCAAATTTAGACAGAGCTATATGAAGCCAGACCTTGAAGGTCAAACCAAACTTTCCTAAGTACAAAGGAAGGAAATGATTTCCCAGCTTGAACACCTGAGAAAAACACATGCACAAAAGCACAGCAGCAAAGAGAAATCTTCCACGTAATCAAGTAATGACCAGCTGCGTGTCTGCCAATCCTGACGAGCCCACAGAATCCTTTGTATATGGCAGAATTGTTCATTTATTCATGCAACTGAGAACCAATTTTATATCAGGCACTGCGCTCAATTTTCTGCCTGGTCCCTGTCCTCATACACTTCTATTTAAGAAGATAGTAAATAAGAAATCAAGAACATTTCAGACAGTTGGGTATGATGGCACACACCTGTAATCCCAGCACTTGGGAGGCTGAGGTAGGAAGATTGCCTCAAGTTCAAGGCAAGGCTGGGCTGCATAGTGAGTTCAAAGCTAGCCTGGACTATGCAGTGAGACCCTGTCTAAAAAAAGAAAAGAAAAGAAAAAAAGAATACTTTAGGTAAATTACATTTGCAATCAAGGAAATAACAAGAGGCAAAAGAATTACAAATTCAGGACCAGCCTGGGGCAATTTACAACTGTCTCAAAATAGAAAAATAAAAGGAACTAGGAATGTTGCATAGCACTCCTTGGTTTAGTCCCCAGTACAGAAAGGAAAAAAGGAAAGAAGAAAAAAAAGGAAAGGAGAGAGGCAGGGAAAGAGGAGAGAAGGAAGGTAAGAAAACAATGTCACATAAAGGAGAGTGACCAGGAGTGAAGAGCAGGCAAAGCCACTTTGAAGAGGGAAACTGAGTCATGATAAGGCCTGGGTATAAAATGTCCTTGGCAGAGAGAATGACAAACTCAAAGCTTCTGAGCTATGAAAGAGCTTGCCATACTGAGGAAACAATAGAAGCCAGAGTTCATGGACAGATCTATAAGCCTGAGGCAGGAAGATCAGGAGTTAGAAGCCAACCTATCGGGCTGGGGATTTAGCTCAGTGGCATAAGTGCTTGCCTTGCAAGCAGGCAGTCGTGTGTTCAATCCCTGGTACCGATAAAAATGAAAAAGACCAAAAAAAAAAAAAAAAAAGTTAGAAGCCAACCTATCTCAAAGACCTTGTCTCAAAATTTTAGAAAAGGCCTGAAGTGTGGCTCAGTGGTAGAGAGCTGGCAGAAAGAGGACAAGTAAGCAAGAATAGGGGTAGGAGGTGAGAGAGTGGAGAAGAGGCAGTCTCAGGAGCACGCGCAGGCCCTGATCATGCTAAAGCTTGGTGACCCGTGACAAAGAACTTGGATTTTATTCTAAAATGCACTGGGAAGGCATTGAAGGGATTCCAGATAGGGTATGATCTGCTTTGTATTTTTAAAAGCTCCTTCCGGTCTCCATGTGGATTGCAGCCTCGCAAGGAAACAAGCAGAGGCTACTGTTAGAAGACAAGAGCAGCGTCCACACCAGAGACAGGATAGACGTACAATACACAGAAGTGATGTCCGGAACATCTGTGCTCACTAAGTCACACAATTTACTCACTTGCAAGGTCTGTCTCCCCTGCACGCACCCTTACTGGCACATGGGGGGCTTTATTGGCAATCGGCACTTGCCTGGACTATGTGACCTCTTTCTTTTTCTCCTTTTACCCTCATTCCTTTTTCCTCCCCACACACTGCTGACTCCAACCTTTATGAGGTCCTGCTGTTTCCACTCAATTCTATTTCTTCTCATTCCACCACCCATGAAAGTTTCATAAGCTGGATATAAAGGAGATAATTATTTTCTCCTACCCCAGAAGCATGCAGGGATCACCAGTCTCATAGAAAACTAGCAGAAATCTAAGGGCTGTTACATTCTCAGTGACACAATCTGCATACATTCGGCCTTCTAGGGACCCATCTCACATTCACTCCAGCCTGCTCTCCCTACTGTTGCCAGAGAAACCTTTCAACAGAAAAATCTCATCATAGTATCATCTGCTGTCCCTCGAGTCCCCTGTCTCACCTGCCTCACCTTCCCCTGCTTGCTTAAACTTCTAGTGGTACCCCCTGTTTCTCAGATAAATGCCAGCTGCCTCAACAGGGGCTACAATGACCCGGGGAGTTACAACACCACTCTCCTCACTGCTCAGACTTTTTCCCAGAATTTTCCCCTTCTGCCACAAAACTTTTATATACGCTGTTCTCTTTGCCTCCAAGACCTCCCTTTTGCCTGACTTGATATTTACTCATTCTTTAAATCTTTGTCCAAATTTTCTTCCTCAGCACAATTATCTCTGATCTGAGATTACACACTATAACAACTAAATTGATTTTCAAACTCTTATCACAGTTTACAATATATTTGTGTGATTACTTGATGAAAAATAGTTACTTCTCTCTTATCAGATGACAAGCTCCAGGAGGGCAACAACTTGCCTGTTTTTGTCCATTACTATATTGTAGAGGTTCCAACACATAGTCAGCCTTAAGAAGATTAGATATGAAAAGATTTTCCAAAATCTTAGCTACTGTTCCTTTCCTCCTCCCAGTACTAGAGACTGAATCGAGCCTTCACACTAGGCTACATCTACAGCCCTTTTATTTATTTATATTTCGAGACAGCATCCTGCTAAATAGCCCAGACAAAACTTGAACTTGCAATCCTCCTGCTCAGCTAGAATTACTGGCCTGTCCCACCACGCCCTGCTTTGTTCCTTTTCAACTGAGAAAGCAGAAAAGAAATTATGGCTCTTCTTAGTAGCAAATTAGTACTAGGAAAAAGGAGAGGGAGTTAATGTCCAATACTCAATTTGCTACAAACTCAGGGCATTTTCCCTGCCTTCTTCCAGAAACAATGCTGATGTCAACATGGCACTTGTTTCCAAGACCTGTCATCCTTCCTGAGATAGTCCACCATCCTCTTCAGAGTCATCCACTTATCTTGACTGCCCTCCCACCTTCAAACCCTCTTTCCAGGACAGCAATCAAACAATCTGATTGCAGGCCAGACAAAGTGAGAGTTCAAAGAGCTACCACTCACTTACTGGGTATCGCACAATAAACAGTTCACAAATTGCACCACATCTAATCTTCAAAACAACCCTGACAAGTAAACAAAGTGAATATCACTATTTTTCTATTAATAAACGAGGAAGCTGAGGTTAGAAGAGACAAGTGACTTAGGTCACAAAGCCTATGTGAGACACGTGGAATTTGAACCTACAGATTCTAACACCTAGTCCAATGCTTCTTTATGTTGGCCACCCCAACAGTTCTATTGTCAATTATTTAACCCTGGTTTTTCTCAGTCCCTGAAATAAGCACCTGTTCCTGACCCGTCAGCACTTGCCCACCGCTTCTCTGCATGCAACTTGTCAAATGTTTGTGCAGTGAGCCGGAGGAGTCACAAAGCTGGCCATGCTAAGGAGGGCTCTTCCCAGCCCTGGTCTCTCTAACTCTTCCTCTGAGCCACTAAAGAACCCAAAGCCCCCAGAGATAAAAACACAAAGACCATAGCAAGATCCCTGGCTACTCTTTCGCCCACATTCTGGCGGGACAATGCAAAGCCAGAGCCGGCCTCTCCCACCGGGGAAGACTGGAGGAAAGCAGAGGTCACCGCCCGCCAGCCGTCAGGGCTCCTCGCGGGCCGGCGCGAGGGATGCGGCAGGACCGGCGGGTTCTCAGGTGCCGCCCAAGGTCACCTCTCCAGCCGCCCCGAGCGCCCCCTGGCGTCCCGGGCCGGCTCCCCTCGCCCTCCGGGAGCGGCCTGCAAGTCCGGGCTCCGGGGCAGGCGGGAGGGTGGGCAGAGGCTCCGGAGGCTGAGCCCCGGGGAGGGGCGAGAGGCGGGGCCCTACCTGATAGCTGAGGACGCCGTCCGGCTCGTTACTCCCGGCAGGCATGGCGGAGTGGAATTAGGTGTCCCCAGCGAGTTCCAGGCCAAGCATCAGCAGTTCGCGCCGTCCAGGCGGGTGCGAGCGGATCACTCGAGCCGCGACCCCTACCCTGGAGCCAACGGTCAACCATCAACCACCGCTGGCTCCATAACCACCGGCCGCGAGGCGCCCGCAGCAGCCAATCAGCGAGCGGCCTGTGCAGCCAATCGGAGCGCGGAGCACTGGAGGACGCTGTCCGGCGGTACCCTGGGCTACAGGGAGGCGGAGGAGTGAGCCGGCGCAGCAGACGGCTCCCCAGCCCGGTTGCCGTGGAAACCACCTCCCTCCCTTCAGGGGCCTCTAGGCTGGAAGGTCCCTCCAGCTGCTTGCTAGAAGTCGGGGGGAAAAAATCTCTTCTTATGTTTGCGGCTGCACCTGACTCTTGAAAACTGGAAAAGTGTTGGTTTTACCTCTTCCGATTTTACTTCATGGGAGATGCTTTATAAATTCTGAGGAATCGTCCTCAGGATTGCAGAAGCAAAGCATTGAGGCATGAGGGGAGAGGGCCTTCTAAAATGAATTGTTCATCCCTGAGCTCATAGATTGAAGAGCGTTGAGCCAGCAGTCAGTAATC